TGAAACTTTGGAAGCTTAATCTACATGGGCGTACGGGGCCCATTCCACAAAATGGGCGCTGTTACCTGCGTGGTACCCAGGTACGGGCCTTTGAAACTTTTTTGCAGGTAAGTCGCTAACTCGAGAACCAGAAAAGCTAGAAAGCTGAAATTTTAAGGGGATGTTCCCCGTCCACGTAAATCTCAGTGAGCTCAAACCCAGCCTTCGGGTATGCGTAGTACCCACGCACAGGGGCGCCGAAATTTTTTCCGGATGAGTCCCCAATTCGAGAATTTGAAAAGCTAGAAGACTATAATTTTAAAAGGATATTTCCCGTCCGCCTGAGTCTCATTAAGCTCAGACTTTGGTTGTGCTTGGTTCCCACGTACGGTCCCGCCACAGCTTTTTTCGAGTAAATTGCTAACTGGCGATTGAAAAGTTATAAGTTAGGAAGTTTTAACGGAACGTTCCCCATTCACGTAGGCACTAATGAGCTCAAATCAAGCCCCCGGATGTGAGTCATTCCCACGTATGGATCCGTGAAAGGTTTTTTCGTGTAAGTTGCTAACTCGGAAATCTGAGAAGCTAGAAGACTGAAATTTTGAAGGGATGTTTCTTGTCAGTACTGATGGCCAGTCTGAAATTTTTTTAGCTAGAATCATGTGCTGGAAAAAACAGTGCCGTTAGCGACAAAAATCTGCGAGGAACTAAGCGAAAAACGCATCTTCGCATGGGCAGCCCGTGTGTTGGCCAATTATTTTTTTTTTTGTGAGCGCCTTTCCAAATATGTTCGAAGGTTAGTCGCTGGAAATTTCGGCAGTGTAGCTGCGCTGGTTACAGGACTACGCCAAATTGCACGTGTGGAAAGTGATTGTTGCTTTTAGGTGTTGCTGCTCGAGCATGGCCCTGAGTCTTGCTCAGAAAATTTCAGTGCTTCGGTTACAAAGTTGCGTCAAATTCCACGTGTTCGCACGTGAGGCATGCGTGAGACATAAAAATGAAAGTCGGTTTCACGTGCCCCTGACCAAAAGCCACCGTCGGCCACGCCCAGAAAGTTCCAGCCGTCTAACTGCTTCAGTCCCGTAGTTACAAGTCTGTCTACGTCAAATTCCACGTGTTCGTACATGAGATACGGAGGAGCCGGGAAGCTCAATTTGCTTTTACGGGCACATCAATGGGCGACAGGCAAAGCTGCAAAGTTACAGCGCCTCACAGGTTCGTGGTCAGCTTAATTGTTGAGTTGGCGTGACGCCAGTTTAAACTGATGTGTGTGTACGTGAGATCTTGGGTG